GGGGGGGGGGGGGGGGGGGGGGGTTGTCAAGAGAGTCCAAACAGACGCACACAGGTCGGAGAGAAGGAGGAGAAGCCAAAAGTACAGAGAGGGAGAGTCAGGTGCGTCTCGGGTCGGGGGGCGAGGTCGAAAAAGGTGAGTCGAGCGTATTCACAACAAGAAGCGCGGGTCAGATCGGTTGAGCGAGCATTTGCTATAAGCGCCAATAGGTCGTATACGCCGCGATACGCGGACTGGGGAGCAAGGTATCGTCTCGAGCCGTGCCGTGGGCCCGCACCGTCCGGGCTTTGGCACTCGAGATGGGTTGGAGGCGCTCCCCTGCGCACCGCAACGGCTTACCACGGCAGCATCGAGGCGAGCTGGCCGCCGAGCTGGCCACCAAACTGCTGCAGGTTCTGCAGACCCAAGTTCTGCAGGCTCGTCTGGAGCGTCTGCAGCGCCAGGTCCGGGTTGCCTCCCGAGATCCACGCGAGCGCACCGGCACCCACGGCACCCGCCGCCGCCAGCGCACCGGCGGTGGTAGCAATCGGCCTCTTACGCGCCACGCGCGTACCCCTCTTGAAGGCGCGCACGACCCTGCCGGACTCGGCGTAGTCGTCGTCGTCCGCCATGAGGTCGAGCTCGGCGGTGGGTCGGTCGTTGACAGCGCGGCGCTTCTGGCCGCGGCTAGCGCCCTTGCCTGCCGCACCCGCCTGCTTCTGGATGCCCGCAGCGAGTGCCTTGGCCTCGGCGATTTGCGCCTCGATCTCGGCCTGCGAGAGCGCAGCGGGGATGCCGTTGGTGCTTCCCTCGATCGTCGTCTCGACGTTGACCTGCGAGATGGTGCCGTCGGCGTTCTCAACGCGCGTCACCTTCTGCACAAGCCTGGGCGATTCGGCGTCCGAGGCGGCCGAGGCTGCTGTCGAGGTGCGCTGGCGCTTGCGCGGCGTCTTGACCTCGGTGGTGGGCGCCGAAGTGAGCACGGGCGGACCGCCGTCCTCGGAATGCTCAGCAGTGGCATGGATGAGCGCAAGCGCAAACTTGGCGATGCCGTAGTCCTCGGCGACATCAGCGGCGTCCTCGGCGGGGATCCAGGTGCCCTGGAGACGCACACCTGTGCTACCCTCGGGCAGGACACGGATCTGCTTTTCGCCGGCGACGGACTCGGAGTCGGTGGCGGCATCCTTCTTGGGCGTCTCGGGATTCTTGCGGGGACGACCGCGCTTCTTGGGCGTCTCGGGCGCCTTGACGTCCTCGAGGATGTAGCCGCCGTTGGCGCGGTTGGTGTCGTACTTTGCGTCGAGGAACTGCATCTCGGCAGCCTCAGCGTTGCCGTCGGCGAAGGGGAAGGCGAGGCGGAACATGGACGAGGCGGCCATGGCGTTGGTGTCGAAGCGCTTGAGCAGGAAGGCGTGGTCCTGGCCGTTGACGGTGGGCAGCTTGACGCGTCCGATGATGATGTTGTGGCCTTCGCGCTTGATGGTCTGCAGCTTGACGACGGCCTCATCGACCTCTTTCAGCCTAGGGTTCTTCTTGGTGGGCAGCTTGGGACGAGCGATGTCCGACTTGGCCTCCTTGGTCTCCTTGACCTCCTTGGCCGCCTTGGCAGCAGCAGCAGCCTCCTTGTCCTTCTTGGTCTTGCGGGGCGAGGCCGAGGGCGAGGCGGGAGGAGCGGTGGAGGCGTTGGAAGCGACCGAGGAAGAGCGGGCGCGTCGGGGCGTCGACTTGCGCGTAGGCGTCGACTTGCGGGCGGTGGAGGCAGCAGGCATGGTTGCGAGAGGTGGGCGTGATATCAAAGTGGTCGAACGAAGCGAGGGTCCAGCGACGACGCGCAAAGGTGATGGATGATTGGCGAGGACGAAGCACGCGAAATACACGGGCGTGGCCTCGAGAGGGGATAGTAACGAAGGGAGGAAGCGGGGGACGGCGAGCGGGATGAGGAAGGGAGCGCGTAGGAGATGGAAGTCGGGAGATGGGGAGTGGGCCGCGCGATGGCGAGCAGATGAAAGAGGGGAAATCGGGCGAGGATGTTGCGAGCGCGTGTCGTCGCGGTGGGGACCATAGCGACTACATCCTTGGTCAACTCACGTCTAAAAAAGCCAACACCTGCGCCGGAGCGCGCTTCTGCTGCCTCGTGTCTCACTCGAACCCGACCGACGTTGGGGCTGCAAAAAAGGCGACCGTAATTTTCGGCGCTCGCCCTCACGCGGCACATCCGCGCGTATTTGGCCAGCCGTGTTAGTTGACATCCACGCACATCTGCCCTGGCCCCGGCTCCACATCACTCTGCTTGGCGGCTCGGCGTGGCTCTCTCTCAATTTTTGACAGTCCGCTGTTGTTCTGCCCCAAAGTTGAGCGCGTTTCTAAGCCGCTGTCGCCCTACAGGCACATTCTCACCCAATTTCGAGAGATTCCAACACTCGTGCGAGAAGATGCCAGAAAACGTTCACGAGCGGAGAGGATCGCACCGATCGCGACGAGCTCACTCATCCCGATGGGCCGGTGTGGCCTCATGTGAGATCGCCCAATGGGTCGCTCGGGCCGCTGATTGGCTTTTGAAGCTCCACCAATGATGAGCACTCCCTGCAGACGGCCGTGGGTCCAAATGCAGCATCGGCTTGCAGCGCTGCACAGCGAAGCAGGGTCTGTGTCCTTGCTATGATCACCTCCGCATTCGATCGCACGTCCAAGCCCAGATGCCATATCAGACGTGCTGGACTGAAAGCTGCGAATTGCAGAGCTTAATCTTGATACGGCTGAAGCTTGCGTTCACTCACGCGCAGTCGGCGATATGAGCTTGTTCGTCGGACCAGCCGGGCGCGCAGTCATGAACGCGCCTCTGTCACTGCACTCCAATGGTCAGCGCTTCCGAGTTCTTGAGCGAAGGCTTCTGTCGGCTTGAATCCGCCGCACACCCAGGCGCGGCTGGTCCTGCGAACGTGGGTGGGTGCAATGAAAGCGCTGGTCAGCAGCAGCTGCTGTCAGACGCGTCGGGAGCGACACTGGTCTGGAGCCGCAACTGGGCTTCCAGAGTGTGTCGATGCCCGCTTTCACCCGCCCCTCCGCACTCTCAAATTAAGGGTGGCAGGGTGGCAGCACGCCTCCAGGCTAATCGCCCTGTCCACGCGCTGCGATGGATCGGCAGCTGAGGACAGGGCGTCTCAACGTGCGCATTCACCCCTGCGCGTCCGTCATGTGCGCCGCCTGAGCGGCTGAACCGCTACAGTAGCCGGCCTGAGCAGACACTGCAAAATACGCCGCCTCCGCTCGCTTCAAGTCCGCTCATCGGCCTTTATGCGGACATCCTCCCTCCCTCCATCACCACTGGATACCGATACGAGTCCAACGAGATCATCGCGATTGACGCGATACGTCCCATCTCCCTCTCTCCATCTCGGGCACCCAATCCAGGCGTGTTCGACGATAGCCCCCCTCTGCTCACCCCATCTCCATCTGGGCCGACTTGCGCGATCCACGCGTAAGCTCTGCGTCCTCCCACCACCTTTGCATCGCTCTTGCTCAGCGCAATCCGCTGGTACACCGCAAGCTAACCCTACCTCCGGGTGCCTCACAAGCCTCCTCTTCTCCGGACCGCTCGATTGATCGTTCAATCACTATTCTTATCAGAGCTAACCTGCCGAGCATAGGCGTGAGTATTTCCCCATCGCCCTTATATGCTCCCTCCCTCTCTTCCCGTCCCTTCGCTCGCAGCTACGCATCCTGGCCAATCCGTGGCGACCTCTCGGCCACTGCCCTCGCTTGCCTCACGTGTCGCAGCTTTGGACCGAAGTTCGGTTCAGATACTTCCCTCGCTGCGACACGTCGGGTCAAACGCAGGGTACCCCAAGAACGCCTTGCAATTGGCCAGGCACGCTTGCCGCGAACCTCCACCTGTACATCGTCCATGCTGTTATGGGCATGGTCCTTTCCGACACTAGTCCTGGCTGGAATTCAACAGCGCTTGCTGACTCTATCTGCTCTCGTCTTGGCTTGCGTCCATACTTCGTCTTCGCTCGCTTGGCTGCTCCTTTCTTCGCTCGCGTCTCATTTCCGCTGATCTTTGCCGACCCTTGATGCCGATACAGCCCTCTCTCCGCTCACCGAAACCACACCATGAAGTACCTCGAGTACCCCGAGCTCGAGCTCCTCTCGAGGGCGCTCACCTTCGAGTCTGCCGAATGTAAAGTCTTCACCCGCATGGAGGCATACTCGTGCAAGACCGTCTCCAAGGAGAAGCGCCTCTTGAAGAACCTCGAGTCCACCTATCTCAACTCGGCCTCCACCTCGCCGCCCGACTATCTCGAGGAGGCCCTGGCGTCGCCCTTCGGTCGTCTCGACCAGGCCTCGGCCCGCAAGACCCTGTTCCTCCTCATCGCAACGCTCAACGTCGCCTTCCCAGACCACGACTTCAGCGAGGTCAACCCGGCCGATTTCCGCAAGGAGTCCAGCCCAGCCATGGTGCTCAATTCGCTCAGCACCACGTTGCTCAGCCTCAAGACCTCGTCCAACGCACCCCGCTCCTACAGTTCCTTCCCAGGATCGTTCGAGGAGCCCGGCTTTGCGCTCGGCTCCACAGGCGGCTCGCCCGGCTCCGGCCTCAACACTGGGTCTCTGCCGCCTCTCATCACCCATCCCGCACTCTCGCACATCCTCGACGACATCATGAACGTCTCCGACTGCGAGGTGTACACCTTCCATCCGGACATGGACTCGGACCCCCACGCGAGTGCCGAGCCCGAGGAGGAAGGTGATCTGGGCGACGACGATCCCTACGACGACGAAGAGTACTGGGACGACGACAGCCCCGGCATGCGCGGCCGCGAGGACACGCCGCGAGCGCGAACCATGCATGCCGACGACGACGAAGAGATGGTCGACGCTCCTATGTTTGACGAAGACGTCTATGGCGAGGGCCTTGGAGGCGCAAAAAAGGCGCCGCAAACCATCGCCACCATTGGCCCTGACGGCAATGTGGTGCTCTCGCGCGGTGGCCTCGACACCAAGAGGTGCCCATCCATGGAATCGTCGAGTCTTGCGTCTTACTCGTCGTACCACGATTCGAGCCTCAACGACGAGGAGGACGACCTGGACGGCACGGGCGCCGGTCTGCTCTGGTCGACGTTTGCATTCTTCTACAACCGCAAGATGAAGCGCATCCTGTTCGTCTCCGTGTGGAGTCGCAAGAATGCGCGCTTCGGCCTGCCCACCTCTACGTGGGCGTATGCGCAGCCGCCGCCTGTTCTCAGTGCCTCGCTCGGCTCACCGCACGGCCACTTTGGCCGGTTCGCCACGCCCGCATCGGCTCCTGCCCGACAACGCGCCTCGTCGACGTCCAAGAAGCAGCAGGCTTCGGTTGCGCCGACGGCAGCGGCGGCCCCTTCGCTGGCCAAGCGCGCCATTGCCAGGACCGACTCGACGGGCTCGCTCAAGCGCGTCGGTCGTCCCGGACACATCCGCGCCAGCTCGGGAAGTCCGGCGCCCTCGTCGCTGTCGCCGTTCCCACACGCATCGCCGCGTGCGGTGCGCACCACCGACCCCATGGAGAACGTGGTGATTGTCGACGGAAGCAGGCAGGTGCCCTCGCTCGATGCGGCGCTGCTCAGCGCAAGCGCCCCGGCAGGTGCAAGCGCCGCCATCGGCACGGGACTCCAAGCTGCCATGCGCCCAACACGCACTTCGGTGCGCAGCAAGCGTGCATCCGACACATCGACAAGCACGTTCGACCAGAAGCGCGTCAAGAAGCAGGCTGCGTAAGCAACCCGCCCGCGGCAAGGTCGACTCAAGTGATCCCGATTGGTTTTTTTGACTCCTTTGTATTTGTACGGCCGTCTCTGGCAACGCACCGATTTCTGCGCAGGCACGATATTGCGTGTGATGATTGGAATCTGAGACATTGATAAAGATATGCGAGCTAGGGTGATGGGATGGAGGGATGGAGGGGAATCATTGGGTGGCGGAGCCTTTGAAGTGTTGGTCTTGGCTGACCTGGGTGAGTTGGCGATGTTTGAAGCTGGCGGTATCGCTTTTGAGCGCCTCGCGCATCAGCATGGTGGCATACGACGACGAGGGCAGTTGGAACTTGAGTGTGAGCGCGGTGAACTTTTGACCTGCCTCTGCCGCGTCTGCGTTGGTGGTGGTGGAAATGCCAAGGCATCGTTCCTCGTCGGTGAGCGTAAGGGCGATGTCGGGATCGGTGTACTGGGTGATGTTGTACTCGAACGCGCGCGGACGCACGAGCATACGACGGTATGATCCGCGCAGCTGGTACTCTGGGATCTTGGACGCGCTCAGTTGAGCGTGCGTCAGCCCGTCGGCAGATAGAATCGTGTGGTAGAGTTCCGACATCCATCCCTCCGGTAGCTCGATGGACGAACCCGGAAGCGGCAGCACTACGTCGTAAATGCTCTGCGAAGAAAGGTCGGCTCCAGACAGCTGCTTGGTAGGTCGTTGCCACGTAGCCAGCTCGGGCTTGGCGTTGCGGACATCATCATCATCTTCATCGGCATCCTCAGCATCGTGTGCAGTCAACTGCGTGTCCCAGTCGTCCGTGTTGTCGGTGAAGACGACGTCGCCTTCCACCGCCTGCGTGCCGAAGCGCGAAATTCGCTCCGAGACCAGGCGGTTCCAAACATACGACTGGTACGCATGCACGTACATCAGCCGAAGCGTACGCGGCACATTGCCAAACGCACCCGTCCAGTCGCCCTGGTTCCACCTGTTGCTGCGCATCTTGTCGAGAATGTGCTTCTCCGCAACGCAGTGCCTAGGCACCGCAAGGTAAGCCTTTTCCAGCTCTCCCTCTCCATACAGCTGTTTGGCACGGAGTAAATCCGCGGAGTCGCCATCATCCGCATCGGGTCCGGACGCGGCTCGAGGCGTCATGAGCAGCTCGACGGCCTGTTTGAAGTCGTTCTTGAGGATCAAGATGCCGATGTGGTGGGTGGGGATCGCACCCGTGCCGAAGCGCTGCATGCCAAAGTAGTTGATGAACCCCTGGTCGCGGATGACGTCCATCGACGCACGCACGCCTGACAGAAAGGCGTCATCCACCTCGCCGCCCGTGCTCGGGCGCACGTTGCGCAGCGTGATGGTGAACTCGTTGCCCTTGAGCTGGCCGAGTTTCAGCGGCTGCGAGGCGTACTCGAGATGGCCGATACGCAGACCGCGGTCGGCCCTCTTGCTCACGGCATCCGCTACAGTCCGACCTTTGCCCTTGCCCTTGGCATTCGCATCTGCGCCTGCAGCAATGTCGGCGTTGATTCCGTTGACCAGCCGGTATACGTCGTCGAGCGTCTTGCGGTTGCGCTTGAGCGAGACCCTCTGCACGGTCACTGCACGCTTGTCTTTGGTGCCTGCTACCGAAAGGTCCTTGGTTGGCGGCCTGCCTCCGCCGCGTCCGCCGAAGCCTCCCCTTCCTCGGCCTCTTCCGCGAGCGCCACCGCCGCCTCCAAGCCTGAGGCTCTCGGCGAGCATGCCCATAGCCTCCTGGTGGTCGCGATTGGTCTTGTGCAGCAAAAAGTGGATGTACGGCGGCGAGTTGTTCGCTTCCTCGGGCAATCCATCACCAGCCCTCCGGTCCGACCTATTTGCCCAGCGCACAGCAATCCTCGTCGCAGCGGCCGAGCCGCCGCCATTCGCCATGGCATCTTCGTCATCGTCTCCGGCCCGAGCGCCTCGCGGCCTGACCGTACACGAGTCGGTCGCGAGTCTTCCTGCAAAGAGCTCGCGCACAAGTTTGTGCACCTGCGTCCTCTGCTCCTTGTCCTCGAGCGGCCGTGTCGTGATGCTGGCTGCCGAGACGAGGGTCGCATTGGCGCCCGTCGCCATGTTCTCGCTCTGCCGCCCTTTGGCCCACATCTCCTTAAGCCCGGCGATCGCCTCGTCCGTGAAGAAGGTCGCCAGTTTCGAGTCCGCCTCCTCGGGCCACATGCCTCCTTGCACTGCCGCCTTCACCTGCTCCTTTGCAGCCTGTTCCGCTGCTTCCTTCTCTTCCTCGGCGGAGCGTACTGGGGCATCCTCTGGTCGAAGCTGCTGCAGGTACTTGCCTGCAGGAGGATCGAGCGAGGTGAGGCGACAGACTTGGCCCGTGAGGTCGATCTCGTTGACCATAAAGTCTGTGAAGCGTTGCTTGATGATGCCTTGAAAGCCAGCCAGCTTCGGCTCGACGTATGCGGTGATGCCGGCGCGTGCTTCGGTCATCCTTGTCTCGGCACCCGCCTCGGCGCCGGAGGGGACGGCGGGTCCGTCATCAAGCTTCTGTCGCTTGGCAAGCGGGCTCGAGCCGACATCGGCAGCAGACGGTCCGTCTGTCATGACTGATGCTGTTCGGTGCTGCTGACAGTCGCTTCCGGTGCAGAAGGAGGATGGTCAACGTGGGAGCGGTGTCGTGGAGCCAAAGAGGACGAGGCCGAGGCGGAAGAAATGCAAAAAGAGGCCCTGAATTCCGAGTCCCGATTCGAAAAAATACTATGTGTTGCGCCGAGACTTCGAACAATAAGATCATTTGCGCGAAGCGCTCTTCGAGGGACTTCTTCCTGATGCCCTCCTTCTGCGCTATCGACCATGACCGCTCTTTGCAGATATGCGAGTCGAGTACAATGCGCAAGCCAGGTTCTAATGTCGTTCTCAATGCTCAAGCTGCGTTATCGGCGGTCACTGCCACAGGAATGATGCTGGTAAAACAAAACGACCGCAGGGCTGCTCACCTGGTCCGTTGCCTGCGTCGATATCTAACGAAGTAGGAGAATGTGCGGCATCCCATGGCAAATTTCTGTGTGCGAACGGAGACATCCGCATACACCATCACTCATCTGGTATCAAGCGCTCTCACGTTGAGGATAAGAAGGAACACGGCGATCTGATTGACACGGACGCCTCGCAAGGGTTGACCGAGCCGAACTGGCCGCAAGGGACCGTAGTTCGACGGACCACCACGCTCCGTGATTGTCAGTGCCGGGCGACACCTAAATCGTGCCGAAGCCAATCATGCATTGCCACCAATCAAGGAACGCATCTCTCCTGCTGCTGCAGCCACAGCGTTCCGAGTTCGTGGTTTTTGACGTTCGAGCGGCGAA